CAGCCGCAAGTTGTTGGAGAGTAGGTTTAGATTAGACATCTGTAAGAACTACTTCACAGTTAGGGCGGCTAGGATCTGGAACCAACTTCTAAGGGAAGTGGTGCTGGCTCCTACCCTGGGGGTCTTTAACAGGAGGCTTGATGCCTACCTAGCTGGGATCATTTGAGCCCAGTTTTTTTCTCCTGCCCAGGCAGGAGGTTGGACTTGAATATCTACAAGGTCCCTTCCGACCCTACTTTTTTGATTCTATGATCTATCTGCCATGAATTAGTGTATTTCCTTTTTGAACCTGGCTCTGTTATCTGCTTCTACAGCTTCCTGTGGCAATGAATTCTATGCATTAACTATGTTTTGCATAAAAAGTGCTTGCTCTTGTTAGTTTAAAACCTGTCAGCTACTAATTTCATAGGTGCTCTTTAGTTCTAGTGTTCGGAGACTTGATGAACAAGGGTTCCCTGCTTGCTTTGTCCATGTCCTTCATGACTTTTTATTGACCTTTGTTGTATTCCCCCCCTCTCTCCTCCAGCCTTCTCCTTTCCCAACTGAAACGTTCTAGTTGTTTTAGTCTCTTCTAGCATGACGACTTCCCCATGCCTGTGATCATTTTGGTTGACCTTCTGTTTCTTTCTCTAATGCTACCATCCTTTGGTGGTGCAGAAACCAGAACCACATGCAGTATTCAAAACTAGATGCGACTTCCTGAGGGCCCTTCCAGCCTGACTGTTCTGTGATTCTAGGAAACTTAAGCCTTGCCTTCACTGACGCTTTTTCTTGTTTTTCTACCATGACTGGTACTGTTGCTAGCAAATCTTGCCCGCTCTATTTGTATTATCCAGTTCACATTAATTTAGAAAAGGCATAAGCAACTAATAAACACTTGTGTATCTAACCTGGCTTCTGTCAGTAAAGATCACATCTGGTTTCTGAATACATGCCAGTATTTTATTTAGGTTTTGGAAACCTGGACTAACCAAGTTCATTCTTGGCACATTGAGTTTGTTACACTCAAGGCAGAAAAACTGAAGGTGTAGATGGACATATCTTTTAATCACTTTAAAATCTGCCCCTGGTTACAATCAGCTGTTATGACCTAACTGAAGTCTGCAGAATCCTGTAGCAAGGAAAGTTAGCTAAATCACTGTAACTATAAAATTGAATGCAAGTTAAAGTTGCAGTTGTTTATCTACACTTGTATGGCTTCAGAATCAAGCAGATAAGAGTTGCACTGTAACGGCTTAAATTGCTATCATTGGCTCTGTCTATACCCTAATCCTGTAGTAGCTAATCTTAAACGAGATGGGTGTGTCCCTTGTGTGACTCTTATCAGTACTTTCTTGTTCTCAAAACAGCTGTCTAAATGGCCACTGCGTCATTTCATGTTCTGTACTTGGTAATACAGCTGTCCAAGTGACTTCCCTGATTTCTGTCCCTTTGCCTCCCTCTTCCATGGCAGGACCGCGCATGCGAAATCATAGAAGACCTGGAAGCCAACAGGATGGTTAGGAAAATGAAGAAGCGGATTTGTCTCGTTTTAGACTGTCTCTGTGCTCACGATTTCAGTGACAAAACCGCAGATCTGATCAACCTGCAACATTACGTCATTAAAGAGAAGAGGCTGAGCGAGCGGGAGACGGTGGTGATATTCTATGATGTAGTACGCGTGGTGGAAGCATTACACAAGGTAAGGGCTTTGTGCATCCCTGAGTGTGCTAGAAGAGTTAGCTGTCCTCCTAACTAACATCTCGGGCTTCATAACACTTCATCCTACAATCAAAAAGAGGGTGATGACTGTGGAATGTCTAAACTGTCTTCCAGTGACATTGCTTTGCACACATTGAGCTCTGGGTAAGTCTATGTGCTGCAAACTGTAGCAGAGCATCTGTTCTCCCCTGTGACTTATGGAGGAGTGTGTGTTAGTTGTTTGGGCAGAAGGCAGCTGAATTAAATGCAGATCAGGTGAAGGGCAATACTGTTAACCTTTCTGGCCTTGCAGCTTATCAAATCCAGGAAATGCTCCGAAGTGTTTCCTGTGGAACAAAACAGATTATAAAGAACAGGAACGTTGATTGCAAGATGAAAAACCCTGTGCTTGCAACAAGTTTGAGATCAAGTGAACTGAAAATTACTGTTCTAAAAACAGATTGCTGTTTTCTGAATTGTACCCTATAAAAAGGGACAACCAGCTTCTCATACCAGAGCTTTGTCCATGAGCTAATAAGCTCATGTGCAAAGACATTTTTCAGCCTATTGAGAGGCCTTATTGAGGCTGGAAAGCCTGAAGCTCAAACTTACCAGCTTTCTTCAACACCTAGATTCACAGAAGTAGGGTCAAAAGGGACCTTGTAAATCATCAAGTCTAACCCCCTGCCCTAGGCAGGAGAGAAACTGGGCTTAAATGACACCAGCCAGGTAGACATCAAGCCCTCTTTTAAAGACCCCAGGGTAGGAGCCAGCACCACTCCCCTTGGAAGTTGGTTCCAGATCCTAGCTGCCCTGACTGTGAAGTAGTGCCTTCGGATGTGTAGTCTAAACCTACTCTCTAACAGCCTGTGGCCGTTATTCATTGTTACTCCGGGGGGCACTAGGGGGAACAAGGTGTCTCCCAAACCCTGCTGGTCCCCCTTAGTGAGTTTATAGACGGCCACGAGGTCCCCTCTCAGCCTTCTTTTGCGAAGGCTGAACAGGTTAAGGTCCTGTAGCCTCTCTTTGTAGGGTCTGCCCTGCTGTCCCTGGATCATGTGGGTGGCCCTCCTCTGGACCCCCTCCATGCTGTCCACATCCCTCCTGAAGTGCGGTGCCCAGAACTGAACACAATACTCCAGCTGCGGCCTGACCAGTGCCGCATAGAGGGGGAGGATCACTTCCTTGGCCCTGCTTGAGATGCATCTGTGGATGCGCAACAAGGTACTACTGACCATAACCTCACATTGTTGGCCCATGTTCATCTTGGAGTCGATAATGACTCCAAGATCTCTTTCTGCCACCGTGCTTTCAAGAAGGGAGTTTCACAGCTTGTAAGTGTGCTGCTGGTTCCTACTGCCCAAGTGGAGCACCCTGCACTTGTCC